CATTTTTAATATACTGTATTTATTGGCCACATGTACTTCCTTTGAAAAACATCTAGTCATTTTTGTTTCACAGTATTTTAATTGGGTCTTTTATTTTGGAGGGTCTAATTTTGTTTAATTCTTTGTATATTCTAGATGTTAGTCTTCCATCTGAGGAGTAGCTGGCAATTTTTTTTTTCCATTTCCTAGGTTATCTCTTCCTTTTGTTGCTTGTTTCCTTTGCTGTGCAGAAGCTTTTTAATTTGATATGATCCCATTTGTTGATTTGCAGCAATATTTCTTGTGCCCGTGAGTTTCTGTTCAAAAAATCCTTGCCTATGACTTTATCTTCATTAGAGTTATCTTCTATTTTATCTTCAGGAAGATCGAGTGATTCTGTTTTAACATTGAGAGCTTCGATCCATTGTGTCTATATTTTGGTACAGAATGAGAGATAGAGATCTAGTTTTATCTTCTCCATATGAGTAACAAGTTTCCTGAACATTGTTGAAGAGGCTGTCTACTCTCCAAAGTACACTTTTGGTCCCTTTGTCAAAAATCAAATGACTATGGGTGCTTGAGGTTATTTCTGTCCTAGTCCATTGGTCTGTGTCTACCTTTTTGTGCAGGTACATTTTTTTTTTTCTTCTAGCTTTATAGTGTAACTTGAAATATTTTGTGCTTCCTGCTTTGTCCTGTTTGCTCAGAATTGCTTTGATTATACCGTATTTTTCCTTGTGGCCTTTGAATTTTGGATGTATTTTTCTAGTTTTGTGAAGAATTTTGTTGGTGTTTAAGCAAGAATTGCATGAATCTGTTGATTGTTTTAGTAATATGGCCATATAAATAATATTAATTTTTCCAATCCAACAATAATTGACTTGCTAATTTCCAATGCCCTCTTCAATTTCCTTGTTCAGAGTTCTATAATTACTGTGTTCAGGTTGGTTCCTAGGTCTTTGTATTTTTTGAAGCTGTCTGGAGTGGAATTGTTCTCCGGATTTTTCTTTTTGGTGGGATCATTATTAGCGTACAGAAACACTATTAGTTTTCATGTGTTTATCTTGTGTCCTGCAACTTCACTGAATTTATTTGTCAGATCTAGAAGTTTTCAACTAAAAATTTTGGGTTTTTTTTTTTTATAAAACACTCTTGTCATCTTCAAACAGACATAATGTAACTCCTTCCTTTCCCGCTTTTGTTCCTTTTACTCCATTTTCTGGCTTGACTGAGAGTTTCAAGTACTATATTGAACTACAGTGAGAATAGACCCTGAAGTCTCATTGCTGATTTCAGAGGAAATGCTTTTCATGTTTTCTCCACTCAGTAAGATGTTGGCTGAGTTTTTCGTATACAACTTTTATCACTTTAAAATAAGGTCCTTCTGCGTTTATTTTCAGTAGGGTTTTCATCATGAACAGATATTGAAATTTGTTGAAGCATCTGTTGAGATGATCATGTGATATAATTCATTTTATTTATGTTGTGTATTACATTTATTGACTTATTTATGTTGAACCATCCTTATATCCCTTGGCAAAAGTCCACTTGCTTATGGTGAATGATCTTTTAAGTGCGCTGTTATATCCTGTTTGCACGGATCTTACTGAGACCTTTTTCACCGAAGTTTTCCAACTATATTGGCCCATAGTTTACTTCTTTGTTGCATTCTTATCCATTTTTGGTATCAGGGTAATGCTCGTTTCGTGGAATGAGTCTGAAAGCATCCTTTCGCTTTCAGTTATATAAAGAAAGTTTGAGGAGTTTTGACAATGGTTCTTCTCTAAAATTCTGGTAAACTTCAGTGTTAAATCCATCAGGTCTAATGCTTTTCTTTCTTTTCATTATTGCATCAATCTTATTGTTATCGGTCTCTTCTGGATTGTTATACCTTCTTGGTTTACTTTTGGTAAGTTACATGTGCCTAAAAAGTTATCCTTTTCTTCCAGATTCTTTGTTTCTTTGGTTAGACCTTTTTAAAATTGTTTCAAATAATCCTCTGGATTTCAGTGCTGTCTGTTGTAATTTTATTATTTTTTCCAGTTGTAATTTATTTGACTTAGTTTCTCTTTCTTTTGGTGAGATTAGCTAAGGGTTTATCAATCTTGTTTCTCCTTTCAAAGAACAAATTTTTCAGTGAATTGATATTTGCATGGCTTTACTTTTATATCAATTTCATTAATTTCTGCTCTAATCTCGGTAATTAATTTTTTCTACAGTTTTGGGTTTGGGTTGTGCTTTTCTAGGACCTAGCAATGCATTTGGTATTGTTGTTTTTCCATTGTAGGCATACATAGTAGTCAACTTCATGTTTACAACTGTTTTCATTGTGTCCCATAGACTCTGCTGTGTTGTGTTTCAACTATCATTTGATTCTAGGAAATTTTCCATTTCTTGTCTGGTTTCTTTTGTGACCCACTGATTGTCCAAGGGTGTATTATTCAATATGTATGTGCTTGTGGCTCTTATTTGGTTATGTTTAATTGATTCTGTGGTTATTGTGATCACAGAAGGTCTTTATTTCTCCTTCAGTTTTGAAGGACAGCTTTGTAGGGTATACTAATCTAGATTAGCTTTATTTTCTTTAAGGTTTTAAAAATCTCACTCCATGCTTTCCCGACCTTTCAGTTTTGTGTGGATAAATCTGCTGCTAGTCTGGAGGGTTTTGACTTCATGGGGAATTTGGCGCTGCCCTGTAACACTTTTCAGTACTTTCTCTTTGTCCCGGCATCCTGAATCCGATACGTCGTAAAAAGGTTGTTTTCTGCTTATGTCTATGGTGGGTTCTAAATCATTCCATTACCAGAGTATCCACCTCGTTTTTCATATTGGTAAATATTCTGCAATAATTTTAGTGAATAAAATTTTATGGTGTTTACCTTGTACTATGACCCCTTTCTAAAGTTCACTAAGAATTTAAACTTGTTCTTTTGGTGTCATCTACGAGTTGCCTGTGTGAGATCCTGTTAAGTTTGCTGGAACAATGCTCTAGAGGTTTGGTTTGCAGATAAGAGTTTGGGGCACGAATGAACAGCTATTTTCAGCACAGAACTAGATAAACTGATCCAGGCACTGTTTCACAGTCACTGAAGCATACAAGCACGAGAAATTCCTGCATCTTGTGGCTGCATCTGCTGAGCTTCAAGGGCTCCTTGGTCCTGATCCCTGTGGATAAGGCAGAGAGGGCTGCAGTGTCTTCTGTTGTTGAGACATTTCTCTCTCCACAGTTCCTGGCCAGGACCAGTAAGAAGCCACTTACCTTTAAAAAGGTTTTGGGTTTCCTCGGCATATTCTATTATCCCCCATCAATCACCCTTTGCCAACTCCTGCTTGCATGACTCTTCTATCTGAGCTACTATAAAATGATATCTAAATAAATCTTTAGACGTGCCCTCCAGTCAGAAAAACACTCATCCAACCTCTACAAGAAAATGTTCTGAGGCCAAGACAATTCAATTTTAACTTGAAAAAGAGGAAGAATGCTGATATCAAGTATTCCCTCCCAATTAAATTCATGTACCTCATGCATGAAACCGGAATAGTAAAACTAACCAGGGAGCAAGCTCTCCGAGGGCACAGTGCTTTGTGCCTGGGCATCATAGAATATATAATTGATAGATAATTTTGAGGTTAATATATTATGATCATTTCAGCTGCAGTGACAGCATAGTAAGATATTATTTTGGTGGTCATTTCTATAAATACAAAATTATTTTCCAGCCTGTTCATTTCAGGGTTGCACTCCACATTGGAAGTTCTGGATAGAGAACTTTTAAGAGCAAATACTCAACTGTTTAAAAAGCTCAAAGGCATTGTTATTTTCTGTCCAAATACCAGCTAGGAAAATCAATATTTTCTTCTGGAAAGAAATGGTTTTGCTGTTTTCTAACAGTACTATAGCATTCAATTTTGAAAAAAAAATCTGAAGGCAGAAAGGACATGGAACTATTGAGTAACAGGCATTGAAAGTTATATCATGATAATGTGATTAGCCACCAATATTTAGGTTTCTTAAATAATTGCTCCTTATTTTACACAGCGATCAATTTGCTTTGCTGCTTGTACAGAATATCCCAAATGCTAAGTCACTGCCCTCACCCTCACCCCACCAGCCGTGGCTACTTACTGGCCTTAAAAAAAATGAGTTAAACTTTCAAATCTTTTCAAAGTGAGCTGAGAAATAATTGCTAACTTGTGACAGTTATTTAGTCATTCGAATCAAATGTTATTTTTAGTATTGATAAAAATGAGTGAATCATGTCACCACAGGCTTTATATAAAAATTGGACACATTGTTATTATTTTTTAAAAACATTCTTTTATGATCTTCAATGAAAATATTTATTTTGATTTCAAAAATTTTGCTATTATATGAAATAAAATTAAACAATGTAATTACATGTATGAATTTTTCTTGTTCGTTTCGTTTATGATGCTTTCTTCATACTTATTTATTTACCAGTTTTTCCAAGGATTTGGTGTAATTTTCAGTAACTCATAATATAAAATCAAACAAAAGTCTATGGAGAAAAAATCAAGTCTGTAACCTAGATGGAAGGAGAAAAGAAAGTTAAAACACATTTGCAGTCATTGTGAGGATCATATTTGTATAAATTTCTCATAAAATATACACATGATGAATAAATGAGCATTAACAAAAATTCTGAAATTTTTATTAAAGAAAAACAGGCATGTTACAGTTTAGTTAAGCTTTGATTATTAGACAGTAAATTAATACCAATTTATATTTAGCTGATACTTATTGAATCCAACAATTATGAGTATTTAGTGATAAATGTTTGCATTTCAAAAGTTATACCCAATGGAAGAACTGTTTTTCTGTCTATTTAATGTACTAATTGGATGGTACTAAGAAAATCAGAGTAGTAGCAGCTGCGCGTGCATTTGAATTTGATAGGATTATAATTATAGAGAAAAACGTGCTAACAGAGTAAATAGAGTGAAACTGTGCTGAAATGAAAATAGCACAAACTGATTTGTGTTTCTCTGAAAAATTCCAGGTGTTGTCAAAGTGGATTATGGAGATGTGTCAGTCAGAAAAACACTCAGAGAAAATCTGAAGTGTAAGCCCTTTTCTTGGTACCTAGAAAACATCTATCCAGACTCCCAGATCCCGAGACGTTATTATTCACTTGGTGAGGTATGAATTATTTATTTCGGTTAAGTTATAAATGTATTTTGCAAATGGAGCAATTTCTAAAGAGCTCAATATTTTTTCATGTACTGAATAAAATGCTGTAAGGGTTTTTAAATAGCTCTATTTAAATGACATTTTTTCAAGGGCAATAAAGGTCCTAATTGTAGGGAACTGTAAAAGTAAGGGGAAATTTTAAGACTGAAGAAATGACACTTTCTTGTTTCTTTATGAATGTTTCTAAAACTTTTGGTCATACAAATCTGTTAAAATTTTTTATGAACTCCAAGGAGCTTTTTGTTTACATGGGCTAGAATTACTACTGTATGAAACTAAAACTAAGAATTTAAGCTTCATAATTCATTAGAAAATGTAATAATCAATTGAATGATAATTTAAATAATACATTTTTGAAAAATAAATATGTCTTTTTAATTAAAATCAAATAGTGAGAATACTGGCACCAAAATATTTTAAATTTTTGTAAATTGTATTAAAGTCTGCTTAATAGAAGAGAGTTGTTTTATCATCTATGCTTTGATATTCTATTAAAATATGACAGAGTCAGCTGAAATACTCTGTGAAACTCTTCACACACACATGCAAAAGTGCATAAATGCTGCAAGTCATGTCTCTGTATTATTATCAAAGTGATAAGACTTTCATTGATCTAGAGCATTTTTCCAAATTATTTTATCCAGCACTATATAACTGGCTTCATCATAAATCTGCAACATGTATCAATATATATTTAAATGTTCAAAACAGAATTATTTATACATTTAATTATATGATCCATACTAGTGATTTCTTGAAAGATACTAGGTTTTTAAGTCAAAGTTAATTTAATATTAGTGCTTATGGAAGCATTTTACCAGGAATGACACAATGCACCTAGCAAATAATTTATGAATTAAGCAGGATGTTGGGTTTAAATGGCTACATTTGTAGGTCAAGATGGCAGACTCTAGCAAGTTATATAGATCAACTTTTGATCTATATAAATACTTAGTTAATCATCCTGTTTAGTGCTCTGAGACTTCTTAAACATTTGTGTATAATTAAATAGATAATAATGAAGGAAAACATACTTCACCTGCACGAAACCCTCCTGAATGGTTTTTAGTGATTGCTTTCTATGCTTTATTCAGCCTCGTAGACCAGTCTCTAGTTCCCCATTGACTATGCCTATATTTGTTCATCAAGTCTATGGTTCACATTTTAATCTGAATAATGCATTGAAAAGGTTTGTGTGTAATAACACTGACTCATACTTTCTAGGTATATGACTGTAGATAGCTCTGCCCTTCAGAGTATTGTTTTGTTATTGCTGTTTATTTGTTTCTACAAGGGAGTACTTCTGCTGTTTATTTTAAATGTGATATACCCATGTGAGTGCTGATCTCACAAGGATTTATATGCAATGCACAGATTATATGAGAATTATTTTTAAAATAAATTAAGCTTTGCATTACAATCAACAGAAGATCTTTGATAAAATGCCTAACATTCCCATGGCTTTTGTGAAGTCTGTTTAACCAGGCTCCTTACTGTACACTTAGAAGAGGGGTGAGTTTCTCTTCTAATAAAGTACTTCCCTCACTGTGGTCAGTGAACACAGATGATCAGTAAACAGTGATTCCTTTTCCTTAAAGAAGGGGTTGTGCTCCGGGGCTAAACAAAGACAAAACCCAGCAAAGAAGAATGTTTGCAAATTCCTTTGGACCCTCAGGTGAATCCTGAGAAAGACTCAGGACATTGAACCAGAATAAGATGTTTATTTCCAAATTAAAAATCTAATTGTATACTTTCCTGAACTACACCAAGGAAACCTAACTGACTTCCTTAAAAAGTAATATATATACATAGTATGGAAAAATTCCTTTCTACAGCCTACTCTATTAAATTAGCTATTTTCTGTAGTGGATCAGGTTGCCATACTTTAATTTCTAAAAATCCTTTGTGAAAAACTTTTATGTGTATGGTGCTGAGGATCAAACCCAGGGTCTTGTGCATGCAAGGCAAGATTTCTACCACTGAGTCACATCTCCAACCCATGAAAAAGTTTTAAGGAGAGACCTTCCATTGTCAGTATTTTTGAAACATGTCCACAAGAGGTAGCATGACATACAGGAAAAATCCCAGGGTCTAGAATCAGGCAGAGAAAGGTTCAAATTCTGGCCTCACCTTTCAGTACTTCTATCAGCAGAATGGAGATTCTAATACAGGGTTATGCTGATAAGTAGGGGTAGAGCATGTAGCACGATGCATGCCACACAGTAGGTATTATATTTATCATAGCCACCATTTAATGATTTCATCTTAAAATTTGTTCTAGGTACTGTATATGAATCACATTATATCAAAATAACAACTCTATGATTTGGGTTTTGTTATGTCCTTATAAGGAAACTGATCTGTTTGTATGTCTGTGTGATTTGCATATGAGTCAAATAGATAATTATTGAAATCAGGCTTCAAATACCTGCTGTCTAACACTAAAGCTTGCTATTTTATTATAACAGAGAGAATAGCTGATTTTTTTATATTTTATTTACTTAAAATGCTTTTATTAAATAAGAGCTTCAGCTAAAACCTGTGTCATATTCTCAGGATGGGAGTCTAACTGAAGAAGGATGTTTGCTATTAAGCCATTCTACTGAAATGGGCAGAGGGTGACTAGAGGTGATCATACAGGAAAAGAGAATCAGTAGAAATTAAAGGTGCCATACACGAGCTATATGGCACGCTATCAGCTGTTGTTTCACAGAGACAATAAATTATTTTTTTAAATCTATGGAATATATTAAGTTTTGAGCTTTCTGGGTATTAATGTGCTGTAGTTTTCCACTTTAAAATCAGCTTTAAAGAAATACAAGCCAGCATCTGTTTCCATGGAAACTGAAGGGCACATTCACCAAACACTACTTCTCAATTCAATTTTGTGCAGCCATGTATAAATAATTTAAGATGGACATCCTGATAATGAGTTAGTGTTGAACTGTTAATGCACAACAGTCATTTATTCAAAGCCTTTTCTTCCTTACTGCCTGTCACTAACCACACGAACTATTACTGGGAGACTGTGAACAGCTATCTTCTCTATGTTAGAAGGCATTTTCTCTCCAATAATTAGAGTCCCAAAGTTGTTGCAGATGTACAAACTACTTGTCATCAAACAAAATTATTTTTGAAGCATATTTTATGTACTGTACTTCTCTGTTCATTTCCAATAAAAGTTTTAGGATTTAACAATGCACATATTCCTAAAATTGCCCGTTTTTAAAGGTCTCTTACTTAACACTGTTATGTGATGGTTATTACAGCATTTCTATTTGTAAATTTCCTTTTTCCTTTGGAAGATGTAGAAGCAAATGTGGTATCCAGTTTTCTCTATTATCATGTAAGATCATCAAAAGAAGCATCAAGTTACTGATACCAGACAGCTGTATCTTAATGTCTTACATGTTTATATTTTACTTAAATAATTGAAATAATATTCTACTCAGCTCATAAATTACATGCCATTTCCAGTGAGAAGTTAAAAGCTGTGCAATTGCTCTGAACTAAAACCTTTAAGTAACTTAAGGGAGCGTGTGCCCTTTAAACTCGGTAAGCAGCTCATAATGGAATAAGGTTGAGCTCTGTGCAGCATTACAATCTCTTAACTAGCCCTTAAGCTTACGCAGATTTAACGTAACCCTTCAGCTTATGTAGGTGTAAAGTGACAGGTTCTGATACTGCTCACATAAAGACTAATTCAAGTATAAGGTTGAAAATGGCATATCCTTATCTTGACCCAAATTTGGGGGCTATGACAGGGTACCATTCTCAAAAAAATAAAAATATATTGTGAGACATTTAGAACACAGAACATCAGAAAACAAACGGAAGGAGAAGAGGTCCTCTGGAGCCAAGCGACTCGAGTCTTGGTATTTACAGTTTGCCTTTGCATGCTGCCTGAAGATGTTTTCATACTGGGCTGTGAGCTGTGCATCGTGTGTTTGCCCACAGCACTCCCTTTCCTCTAGAATTCTTCAACCACCTGTTACTGTCCTTGTTCTTAGGGCATTGCATTTCTAACGTATTTTAAAGGAAATTTTAATAACTAAAACTGGACATCTAAAAGCTGCTAGGCTGAAGGATGTAAGGGTAAAATCAGTTACTGAAAAATGCAGAAGCTAAACTGCTTAAAGGTTCACCGTCCTAGTTGGTAGTCCGGAGGTTTATTTATAGATTCATCCTGTTCTTGACCCTTTAATAGGATAAGCAATAAGAAAGGCTGCCTAGATGACTTACACACTTATCGATGTCATAATCGTGATTTTACTTCCAAGTCTTGGGGATGCAGTTTATTTTCCTTCCAGAGCAGCAGAGTATAGCTGTCGATAGGCAAAACATGTCAGTCTTCACCTGTTAACCTTAAAGAATGGAAGGAGGGGCTAACTAACCAGTGAACAAAATAAAGTACATTGTTGTGTGAAATTTTTTTGTTTCACATTTCTAATATTTCAAATGAAATTCACTCTAATATTATTATTTAAGTATGTATTTGAACGGACAGCATTTACTGATTTGGAGGAATTCATGTGCTGTTCAGTGTTTAGAACTTTCAGACACTTGCTGTGGTTTTGACCTCACTGTGACAGGTTCTCTGAACCACAGACCCCCATATCTAGTTACCCTCCCAGCCTCAAGGTCCAGCCAACCTGGCCTCTTTATACCCTCTTAGCGTCTGAACACTGAAAGGGACAAGTGTCATTACATGTGGAAAAACTCCCAAAGCGTATGGAATGTGGAATAATTAGAATACGTCAAATATAGGACATACTTTTTTTCATTTTTCAGGTAGTCTTGAAAATAAATCTACTCCAGAATTCTTGAAAAATTCAAGTTTTGAATGTTTCTTAATTCCCTCATTAAAACAGAAAGAACACCAGGTTAGTAAAACCAAAAGACTGACAGCTACCTTTGACAAGATATTTAATAGATTTCAAACTATGAGCGGACAGTTTCCTGGCCCATGTGATACAAAACTCTTTACAGAAGAAAACAGAGGAAAACAGTGTGGCATGTCGTAGAAGTGAGGCCACGAGAGGATGGCACTCAAATTTCTGCTGGTGAGGAGAGCCCCTCATGAGAAGTCTTCCAGCTCATTCCATAATAACAGGGAGGGGTATTTCACAGGCAAGTGAAAAGTCTTCTCCCTAATGTCGAAAGATCAAAATACCTTGAAATCTGTAGATTCTTGAAATTCATTATTTGAAGTATCTTCTTTGGAGAAACTTCAGAGAATTAAGCACAAATTGAGAGGTTAGGAGCAACAGGGGCAAAAGAAATGTAAGGCTCACCTGAAAAGGGAGGAGATGAACAGATCCACACAATCCAAAAAAGTAGTTCTAGATTCGTGAAGTTAGAAATTGCCCTAACATAAATTTCTCCTGCTTAAAATATCAAGATAATTGGTTTTATGCAAATGGAAAAAATAATACAAAAAGGATGACTACTGTAAGACTGTAAATAATAAGAATAAAATACCTTTGAAAATAATGCAAACACACCAGAACTCTGTTCTCATAAGACAAAGGAAAAGTGTAATCTAATTATTAGAAAGAAGCAAAAATAATGTTATATATACCGCTATAAAAAATAACACTATAAATCAAATTTAGGAAAATTCTGAAATGAGCTCCTGGAACACAAGAAAAATTAGAAATTAGAGAAAAAATAATTTTAGCAATAAATACTAAACATCTAAGAATAGATGTTCAGTAATTAAAAGAGAAAATGTCATTAGGATTTCAAAAAAAGGGAAGAATGTTTAAATAAAGAAGAGTTTTTAAATAATTTGATTAGGCTGAGGAAATAGCCCAGTGGCACAGTGCCTGCCTGGCAAGCACAAGGTTGTGAGTTCAATTCCCGGTACAAAATAAAATAAAATAAAATTATTTGATCAAGAGTGATATACACAGAAGAGCAACAGTATCAACAATAAAAATAATCCTAAATAGAAAATAAATGCAGTGAACAAAATAAATATTAGTAACTATAATTCAAAGAAACTTTCCTGAAAATAAAATAGAAGCTACACAGTGAATAAGAACTCTACCTATCTGATGGAGTGATCCATAGGAGACAATACCAAGATATAGTGTGATAAATCTATTATATTTTAAAGAAAAGTCAGTTTATCATCCAGGTAAGTATACTAAAGGGGAAAAATATAAGTTAAGTATAATAGAAGAAAAGCCAGACTGTCGTGAGACTTTCAAAAACAACCCTTTATCCTGGAATTAAATGCAGGGACATTTTAGATACTCCAGACAACATATTGTCAGTCAAGGACTTCAGATCTGCGAAATTGATTTTCAAGTATAAAGAACAGTGTTAGCTATCAACATACAAGAACTCTGCGTATTGTTCCCAGTAAAGAAACATCATTCACCCATTTTCTTAGGCTTAAATTCTGGAGATTTCTTGAGGGCTTTTTTTTCTCATAGCTCGTATCCAGTTTAATTGGGAATCCTGCTGCTTTTCCTTTGGAAATGTTCCAAATCTGAACTCTCCACCCCCACTGCGACCCTTCTGCTTCAAGCACCTGTTCTCTCTGGCTTACCTACCTGCCATACGCTCCCTACTTGTTTCCCTGCTTCCGGCTCCACCTCTAGTCTGTTCTCAGGACAAAAGCCAGAGTAACTGCTGCCATGCTATGTCTGGGACCAGAGCCATGGTTCTTTGCATTATCCCGTCTTGGAGACCTCTCAGCCCGCTCCTGGCTCTCACTGGTGCACGCCGGGCCGCGCCCCGTGTGCTGTCCACTCTCCTCCCACTACGTAAGAGGAGCATCGGTTGTCCTGTGTGAAAAGCTCTTCTTTAGATGGAAAAACCACCTTCTCATTTCCTTAAATTGTCTCTTTGACAGTTAAACTGTTCTGTTCTTCTTTCCAAAATAGCATCCCTTCATAAACTCTCTGCCCTTACGGTGCTTTATATTTTTTCATAAGATTTTTTGATATTTGATGCTACAAATCTATTTGTTTATTGCATGTTTTCCTTCTAAAGTGCGAGCTCCACAGTGGAAGAGAATATGTATGTTTTATTCACTTCTTTACCTTCCAACCTCAGATAGTGTTTGGCATAACATGTGCATTCCCTCAATAACGCTTCTTGGTTGAATTCACACAAGGGAAGTTCTACAAGCAAAAAAGAAACCATCAATTATAGAAAGGAGATTGATAATACGTTGTTATTGAGGGCAAAGTATTCTCCAATTCTGCACTTAACTTTCAACATTTCATGTGTCAAACTATCAGATGTATATCAGAGTACATAGTGGGTTATGCTTTGAATTTTCTTTTGTCCAATAAAGGGGAAATAATGTAAAAAAAAAAAAAAAAAACAAAGAAAACCCAGTCTGTAAATGCTTGTGGTTATTAAGTAATATCCATTCAAGTAGTATACCATGCTCCTAACAGAGGTCCTTTACATCAGATAAAATAGGTTACATCTAAAAGAAATTATTTTGTGAAATATTTATTCCTCTAAGTATTATGGCAATATATTATTCTATACTTTCTATGATCTTAAATTGCAATAATAACAAATAATTTTATTGCTTTTCATAAAGTTTATCTTTTATGAAAAGTTACCAAGAGTCCAATGTAAAGGATTTGAAAATACTTCTACCTATGTGTTCTGTACTTTGATCCAGCAGAAACCTTTCTGCTACTATACTGTGGATAGCACATACAAACATATTTATTATATCATCTATCAATTATTAGCCTCCTCAGTATTGTCCAGCTACAGATCCGGAACAGTCTTTGACCTGTAGGCTCAGCCCTTTCCATTTCCTGAACCCACCAAAATCAGATTCAGGGCACATTTCAAACCTATATGTGCTTTGCTTCTGGAAGCCTAAGGCCTGTCCTGCAGTTTTGCTATGTGTTCTGTACTTCCTAATCAGATTATTGATCAAGTCTCCAGAGCTGCTCTCTATTTCAGCCCTTGGAACAAGGCTTGCCCTGCGCTTTCCAACACAGATCAAATGTGAACTTTAATCTCCACTATTCTCATCTTCTGACTGGGGTCCAGTGCAAATGATGACACTTTTCCCCAACCCACGAACCAGCACTTGACCGTGAGGTCCTTCGCCACAGGAAAAGTTAATCATATAAATCTGATCCATCCTCTCTAAGTTGGTATAATGAATCTCTAATCTTATTCATCTGAAAATGTGGAGAAATGTGTACTCAAATCAATATATAGCTAAGTAGAGACATACAAGTAATTTTACTGAGGGAATAGTAAAATATGCATGTCATAGTATGTGTCAGAGATACAAACTTCTCAGAAACTGGATAAATACAAATATGTATTTGGAGTTAAGAATAAGCAAAAACTATTCAAAATGAACCATTCAGTAGAAAGATCCTTTTTTCTCTTCCTCTTCCTCCTCTTATATTAATTTGTGCTTGATTTAGTAATTTTCACATCTTTAAAATAAATGGCACTTTTGGTTATACTTCTCTCAAATATTCATTAATTTATGTCAGTTAGAGGACTAATGCAGTGTTTGAGAACCTTATGCCTGCAGCTGACAATTTAATCTTGCTTCTGAAGAATCTACAATTTGAAATTCTGCTTAGCTTTATAACAGCCTCTCTTCAGGTCAAGCACTTTCCATGAAGTTTGGCAGTAGGAATGAAAGAAGATACAAATGTCTTAGTCACAGAAATAAATGACATAATTAATATTTATTAATGTACAGGGTAGACCACACCAGTTGAGAATGAAAGATACAGTACGTTTTCAAATTTTGAAAATCTATCATAGAAAAGGTTACGAGGCCATTAATCCCCCTCAAAACATCGCCCCTCCTCTCAGACACACCCTCTTGTTCTTGTTCTTGGCACTTTCTGCAGCAGTTCTGTAAGTCCTCTTTTGTGCGCACATATGTTAGTTATGCTGTTGTGGCGCCCTTGGAGTCCTGAATTAATTCCTTGCAAGGAAGATCAGGAATGAAGTGTGGTCATTTGGGTGAAATTTGCCGTAGTGTTTACATTTCATGTTCACTCTGACTTTGGAGAACAGCCAGAATTTGCATGGTGCCAACCCTGGTGAATAAGGCAGAAGGATAGACCACAAGGTTTTTACGAACATGGCACACTTCAAACACAGGCTTCACCAAACAGCAAAAACAGGCTTCACCAAATTTTTGATCACCCTCATAAAGATACTCAGGAAAGAGGACTTTTAAGCCACTTTAAAAAGTGACAAAAACAATGGAAAAAGTGTGTTCAAAGTAGGGGGTGTATGTGGAGGAAGATTAATGGCAGAATGCCTTTTACTATGGTTACTTTTTTAAATTTAGGCATTGCGATATATGTTGATTACTCTTTAAATTTGAGTGACTTTAGTTCCTTGCATGTGGTAGGTACATGAGAGTTTCGGAGTGAACTGTGGCTATTTGGGAAGTTATTTGTCTTACTTTTTAGAGGATTTGAGAATACCTAACTCACGTCGATGTTCCTTCTCTAACCCTGTAATTTAATCAGATGTTAATGCCAAGAGCAGTGCCGAGCAGATCTACTCCGGCAGGAGCTCAGAGCCGGAGCATAAGAGCAGACATGCAGAAAGTAAGACGAGTGTTAACAGCGAGATCTCGTTGGGGAACTTCCTCACAAGCTTGCGTCATGTATTTAACAGTGTAGTTTAATAACACCGCAGCTTTTCCGATGTAAGTGCCTGTTTGCCTCATGTGTTACTTTCTCTCTTCTGTGTGTCTTCTCTTTAGATAAGAAATGTCGAAACCAATCAATGTTTAGACAACATGGGCCGGAAAGAAAATGAAAAAGTGGGTATATTCAATTGTCATGGCATGGGAGGAAACCAGGTAAGCTCTTTTTCATCAGTTTAACACTTCGGGGGGAAAAGATTGTTAAAATTGTTAGCCGAAGACATGGCTCATATGCTAATAACAGTAACGTCTCAGTTGAGTAAACAAATAGAGCTTCAAACCGAGAACTAATTTGGCTATTTATGATCCCAAGTATGTTAAAAGAGTCCTGCAAAATTAAAGCAGAGGCTAACACTTTCAGTGAACGTACACTAAGAAAAGACAGCCAAATATTTTAGACCCATTTCACTTTATCATGATGAGCAAATTAGGGTTATACTTTATTCAAGGGTTATACTTTATTTGAGGGTTACTCTGTTTTTTCTGTTAATTTTTGTGTATCAAGCTTTCTATGAGTTTTGAATTTCAGTGAAATGTTTAAGTACATGACTTAGCACTGAGGACTGACTGAAACCCTCGGAAAAATTTTTTGGTTGTATCAGGCCAATTGTCAGAAACGTGTCAGAGCGTAACACAGATTTTTGCATTCTATTTGAGTTCCGAAAGTGTCTCTACAATGAGGTTACTTGGCTGAGTCTTCTGTCCTGAGCAGCCTTGCTCCGTGGTGACTTTCAAAGGAAGATTTCGGAATTTCTGGAAAGTGTTCACAAGGCCGAGCTTGAGACAGCTGGTAGCAAGTTCCGCAGAAGTCGATGAGAATCACAGCAGTGAGTTCTTCCTAAGGGTTAAAATTTCCTGGTTAGCGTGAACTGACGTCACAGCCACGTGGATTCAGGACTGCAGGTGGCCTTCCGCTGTCAAACAGGAGCGCGGTGGCCCTGTGGAGTTTTGATTCATACTTTACCCAGGCCCTGTGTGAGTCAGTGTTTTCCTTAAAAGTGAAACAATCGGGGCCGGGGATTTAGCTCAGCGGCACAGCGCCTGCCTGGCAAGCACAAGGTCTTGAGTTCGATTCCTGGTACCGGAAAAAAAAAAAAAGTGAAACAATCAATAATTAAAAGCCCAGGTAGGGTTCCAAAGTTTCAACTCATACAACAGATGTTTAAAACCAAATTTCGAATTTCTAGCATTTGGGAAAGTGAGTTTATGGTAGAAGATCACAGAAACAATGTAGGCAGAAAGGAAAAATATTTAAATGATTCAGGTTATTAGTGAATTGATTCACAATAAATAAAAGACCTACACTGCCACAAACCAAAGGAATTCTAGTAAATTCATGTAAAAACTGCTAAATCTTGGAGGGAGGAGAGAAGAGGAGGAGGGGAAGAGAACTTAAAAAGAACTGAACTACGTTGTGCACGTGTAGCAACTCCGCACACTGACTGGAGTCTTGTGTACTCAAGCATGTACGCATAAAAATGAACATTTAGGAATCAGAAAGGTGAAGGTGTGGGATTTAATTCCCTCACACGGGTTTGAAAGCAGTCAAATGTGGACATTTGTTTAGGTCATAAAGTATTTCACGAGGAAATCAGGAACCGTATCTTTCCATTCTTAGATCCCTGTAGCTAGCTGGCTTTCACAGCCTCAGCCGGTCGGAAGAGTCCGAGCCGCCCCTCCGCGCAGAGTGCCCACCTTCCGGACGGGAAAGGCGCAGTGCGGAAGAACCCTGCGAGTCATGTCTGCTGTTCTCAGGGAAAAAACGTGATGACATATAGAATTAAAAGTCTTTATGGTCTCACTCTAATTCTGATGCACACTAAAATGAGAGAGAAGAGTCCCTCAGATAAACGACCTTTAAAAATTCAACAAGCTGGTGAGGTTACTATTAGAAAGGGTAGTTATGCATTCATATTTGTGTAATGACGCCATACACCCAGACCCTAAGTGCTAAACGCAACATTATGTACAAAAGCTCAGACCCCCGGAAATAAGCTTGCGCAGTCACCTGTAACCCTGTCTTCGTCCCCTGCACCCGGCACAGTGCTTGGGATTGAGAGGCACGTAAAAAACCGGTTAAATAAACAGCTGCAGGTCTCTATGGTCAGAACAAAGAGTTTTTACATTTAGTACCTTGAAGACATTGTCAAGGAATAATTTTAGCTCTTGTCATCGTAACCAAAGATATGAATAAAAATCTTAGGGATTCATAAAGTAAATGAAAAATAAGCAATAGACAAAAAACCATTCCTACATACATCCTAATACCTTTACAATGCCAACTTATTGATAAATGAGAAACTGAAACTATGTTTATTTTCAACCTATATGAATACTTATTAGTACTGTATACAGATATGTACTACTAAATATCTATCAAAAGGTGAATAAATATTAATGTATATTCATAGTATGGAATATTGTATAGCCACAAAAGTAGCCAAAGAAAGCATATAAGTACTGGCCCTGAAAATACAAATGGGAAACACCTAGAGTGCCTCTTGCCTCAATGATATTATTTATAAAAGATACATGAGTTTCTTCTGTATATTTATAATATATCCTTATGTAAGTGCTATGAGCTACTGGAAATGCATTGTCATCTGTCTGGAATACAGATTGTTCTAAAGAGACTAAATCTAAATGGAAGTTGGAATGTAAATTTTCACTTTTCCCTCACATTTTGCATATATTTATTACCTTTATAATAAAAATGGAGACTTTTGAGAAGAAAAGAACGTTTTGAAGTACCACCAACCTGACTGAGTAATTTATGGATAAACTCCTTAATATTTTAACTTTTGTTTGTCCATAAAATGTGTAAAGGATTTGTCTCAGGTCTTGTTTCTTGTTCCAAGTCTGCTGTCTCTCCTGCTGCCCCACTGGCATCAGTTGTTTTCTTTGCCTGTTATTTGCACTTATGTTCTCAATTATTTTTCTTTTTATTTCTAAAAGTAAAACCTAAAATGTTCATTCAGTGGCTAACACTGAGGATAAAAATGCAGCTTCCTTTAGTGCTGTTTAGCTGCAAACAGTGACCTGCCCCTCGTGCTAGTCTAACAAATACATACTATTGAAAAGTTCAGTCACACAAAACTCTCCCATTATGACTTCTGCTTTGAGAGAATTCAGTATTTTCAGGATAATTAATACTTAGTGGCAGGTTTAGATTTTTCTTTTGCTCACTTTAAAACAGGAGAGATTTTAGGATTTTGTTCTCAACATTCCCTTTCTGTTTGTATTGTTATTCTTTTATGTTACCATGGAAGCAGCATCTATTTTTGTGGTTTAGTTTTGAATTTTTACAGTACTGTAACCCCCAGCCCATAAAACTCTTCAAATTCTTTCCCGGGGCTTTAGAGAGCAGTCATAACAAATGCTAAAATACTTTTTAGCTCAGTTACGTTTCTAAATTAAAATACCTTTTGCCTCCTAACCCTAACTCCTTAGCCATCTTCCCTTGCACAGGAGTTTTGGGAGTTTTATTGTTTTAAAGTCCTTGGAGGTATCAGGAAGAAATGTACTTTTCAGTGGTTGTTTGAAATATTTTTCTTAAATGCTCAAAAATATAAAAGATGCAAAATTGAGTCAGTGGACCTTTTGTAGATGGAATACTATTTTTTAAAAAGCTAACATGGAAAGTGTTTCTAAATTTGAAATAATCATCTTGAGATACTTTTTTTAACTGTTATGAATAAAATTATCTACTTCCAAGAATAATGGCAAAATCAGACACTCTATTCCTAGTTTTTCATGAAATGTTTTCCTTTCATTACAAGTAACATCATGTTGATTTTTAAACACTTCAAAAAGGATTAAAGAGGAATTCCATTGAATTGACATAAATTTTTATAAGTGAAGGAAAAAACTTACACCTTAGTGATTTAAAGTATGTTTCAAGAGGTTGTGGGATGAACATCTATAGTTCTCAGACAATGAAGTGGACCCCGGAAAGCAGTTTCTTGTCATGTCTTCATCCCCAACCCTCTCATCAGCGCCGAAATCTGTACCAAATTAATTATTGAGACTTTCTGAAGCATCTTAGAGCCATCTGTTTCCTGACTGGAACTTATTTTCTTCCCTTTCACATAGTCATCCAGAATTTAAATCCAATATAAAAACTGTGATTTTTATATTGATTGGTCACAAAATCCTGACATTTATATGTAAAAGTGTCTCTCCTGTCCTACTTCACAATCGCTTTATGTCCAGGGACTCCACCTTTGTCTTAGCCTGTGTCTTCCTTCAGCTTTCTGACTTAAATACCTCGTTCTGTCTATGCCTACATCACTTGTATTGTATTGGATTTAAAGTTATATCAAAATCTTCAGGGATTCTCCACTGGCCAAGAAATAAAACTTACACCACTCAGAGTGGTACCCAGCACCGATCGAGTTCCCCACTAGCTGAACTTCTAGTTTACTCCACCTTGTCATTTCCAGTCTCTTGTGCTCAAAATATATGTCTGACAATCCATTCCCTTCACGGTGCGATCATTTTCAAACCTCTACAGTTTGCTGATGCAGTTCCCAATTTCGTGAGTGAATCTATCCTCTTTATCCACAAACTTAAAAATCGTTTAGTTTCTCTTCTGCTAGCTGTTGAGTAGCAACTTCTTAATCTGCCCAAGACATACTTTTAGTGGACAGACTATAGTTTTTTAGATAGAGTCTTCTCTTGTCTAACACACAGCAGCACTTGTAAATTTTCGTTGTTGTAGACCAGACTCAATATCCTTGTTATTCATATCTACTTCTTTAAAAGTATGTCCAGATATAAATTTGTGAAGTCAAAGTTATGCAGCATGATAGGACTTTCAATGTATGGTGACACATGGCCTTTTAAAAAAGTTTTTACCAATTTAAAAGGACTAATTGTTAAACTAGGAAGTGATACTCTGTTACACACTTAATCTGCATCATCTTCTTTGACTCTCACAGTTATCTTTGAAGCACATTGTGTTATTGTCCTGGTTTTACTCAGAGTGGATTTAATGGAAACTGAGAAATTAGCAGCATGATTGAGAGAGTAAAGCCAGATAAAGTCTGTCTGGTTCTACATCAACTTTATAGCCACTGTATTTACATTAATTCCCAATCACACGCCTCCCGTTTTGTAATCACAGCGGCCAATCCTGATGCCTTATTGAATTTTTG